TGTAATAGTTTTCTTTCTGTCTTCCCCCAGAGGCATCGGAGATCATGCGACACATCGGCACAGCCATCCACTACCTGCACCACATGAGCATCGCTCACCGAGACGTCAAGGTGACACGTCGTTCTGCGAATGCGTGATCCTGTGGTTGTGCAGTGGCCACCAATAATCAATCAGATTACTTTATTTTCAAGCCCTGGAAGAAAGGGAGTTAATTCCCACTCCCACCAACAAAGGAGGTGACACATTTATGAGGAAGTTGTCTGAATGTGTTTAATGACCAAAAACAATGGCCTCTGGGGTCAGAGGTCAGGGGTCAGGAGACAGGAGAACACAGACTATATAGCCCTGGGCTATATATCCAGGTTCTCCCTGTCTCTCTGCCTCCTTCCCTCGATCTGCCGGTGAAGCTGTGGGCTTCTCCCTGTCTGATTCCCAGCCGGAGAACCTGCTCTACACCACGAAGGAGTCCAACGCTGTCCTCAAGCTCACGGATTTCGGCTTCGCCAAGGAGACGACGCTGCACAACTCTCTGCAGACGCCCTGCTACACGCCGTACTACGTTGGTGAGTTGGCAGGAGGGAGACGTCTGTGCATCTTCCTGTCCGTGTTTCAGTGGCAAGCACCCTTCGTGTCTGAGTCGTGAACACGCGGACTATTTTATCGCGGGCGGCGGGGGGTGTGGCAGTGAGCAGTGCTCCCTCATAGCTCGTAGGCCCTGGGTTCGATGGACCGCTCTGTGTGGAGTGTGGACACGTGATTCTCCACAGGTCCACGAGGGTGCTACAGTTTCCTCACACAGACGTGCTCCCAGCATGCATCCTGGAAGGGCTCCGGGCTGCCATAACCCTTACTGGGAACAAGTGTCTTTCTGATTGATCAATATGATCATATTGACTCATTTAGATTTCGAGAAAGGTTACAGGCGAGAGGAGGCCTTTTGATTTATTAGTTAATTAATCCATGGATCTCATCCGACTGTTTCTTAATGGCTTCCAGAATATTGGATTCAACAACATGGCAGGGTATCTTATTCTAGACTCCCAGACCCCAGCGCTTCACAGATTTGCATGTTGCGTCTGTTTCCATACATTGATCTAATGGATCTACCTGCGTGTGTTTCAGCTCCGGAGGTGCTGGGCCCGGAGAAGTACGACAAGTCGTGTGACATGTGGTCCCTCGGCGTGATCATGTACATCCTGTGAGTGCTGGCGTGTGCCCCTTGGCGTGTGACAGGCGTGCGCCTGAGATCAGGCGTGTGCTGGCAAGAGTTCCAGCTGAAGGGATTGCATGGAGGAGTGATTTTCACAAACCTTGCCAAGATATTCAAGCCGTCAGCCAGAGAGATTTGCTGCCTGCAGGAGTTTCACACTGACGTGTTCTGTTAGCCCTGGATGAGCCCATTTCTCTTCTGTAAAAAGTGTTCGGCGATGTTAAATGTAGTCTTGTGTCACTCCTCTCTCTCTCTTTTCCCAGGCTGTGTGGATTCCCTCCATTCTACTCCAACACCGGTCAGGCCATTTCTCCCGGGATGAAGCGCAGGATCCGAATGGGCCAGTACGAGTTCCCGAACCCGGAGTGGGCTGA